TTTCTTTTTCTTTTTTTTTTTAACTGTTTCCCAGCATCTCAGTGTGTGGTGAGAAAACGTGAACACTGCCTGGCCAGAAGTCTGAGCCATGGCCTCTGAGTGAATCTGCTAATGAAAGGCAAGCTCAGAGGAGCCTGTGGCCCTCAGCTCCCTATTCACGGTGAAGGCCGTGGCAGCTCTGTGCTTCCTCTCCTGGAGTCCTCACCTGGACTCAGCGGAGCACCTCTGTCCCGGCCTGAGTCCTTAGCTATGCTCCAGACTCACACAGCACTCGTCCCAGGAGCTGTCACAGGGCACCTCCACAGGCTTAAGATGGGGCTCATGACAGAGCTTGTGCCCAGACAAGGGGCAAGCAGGCTTTGCCCCCCAACTTAGATAGGCCACTCCTTGTTTTTCAAAAAGAGCGTGCAGACTGGTAGTAGGTAGTGCTAGCCTGGCATTCACAAAACCCTGCCTTCTGTCCCTAGCACTGCTTAAGCCTATCACGGTGGGGCATGCCTGTAATCTCGGAACTTGTGGTAGAAGCAGGAGGATCAGAAGTTCAAAGTCACCCTGGGCTGTATAGCAAGTTACAGGCCACCTTGGGGAGACCCTATTTCAAAAAAAAGGGGGGTCCACATTTAAAACTTCAGTAGTTTACATCAAAATCCAGATACCCACCTTCTTTTTAAGAATTGGAAATGTACCCCTCTGGAAGGGGGCTGTGTTCTTAGGCTGCAGGTCGCAGCCCCTGCTATCTCCCAGGACCCAGGTTGGCACGCTGTGTTTCCCTGACAGAACAGAAGGGCTTCTTAGTCTCCAGGTCTCTGTGGAGTCAGGGGAGGCTCTCGGCTCTTCCCGCCCTCCTTCACTTGCTTTGCCAGCCAACCTTGGAAGGTGTGTGATCTCCCCCCCTCCGGGGAGCCACAGAAAACTCTGGGGAGAATCAGGGAAGCCCCTCTCGGGCAAGGCTCTGCAATAGCCAGAGCACTTCCTCTTTCCACTCTTGTAGAAACCAGAGTTCCACTGCTTAGAAAAGGAAGCTTGACAAAGGGCACCGTGTGGTAGCCTCTTGTCAGACTGAGACACTTCTGAAGGCAGCAGCTGAGTCTTCCCTGCTGCTGCTTTCAGGGCCGTGCCTAGAAAGGCTTCCAGGGATGCAGGCCTCTCGGTGATGGTGGGCCCAAGAGCCCCGCCATGCTGTGGTTTTACCCCAAGCTGGAACTCCTGGGAAGCTCAGGTTAAACACTGACGTCAACATGCTGTGACAGAAGTCTACCTGCTGTCACTTTCCCTTGGCACACACCCTGATGGGGCCTGGTACCAGCTGCTTTTGCTGTGGGGCTTTAGGGCTTGTGTCTCTGGTGGTGGGCTTTGGTTTTCAAAGGGAAACAGTACAGCCCCACCTGAAAGCAGTGAGTCCCCGGTGGTCTGCAGGGTGTAGCCCTCCCTGTGTTACCGGAGTAAGGGATCCTTGGAGTGACTCCTGAGCTGAGCAGGCCCTTGCACTTCACCTTCTGAGAGGCCCCTGTGGAATCCCCTATACAGAGTCAAGCCAGTTCCACAACTCCAAAAGGGCACGTGCTTGTTAACCCGGAACAGTGACATTTTAGTCAAGTACCCGAAAGGCAACATGGGTCTGAGCAGGTCACAGAGACCAGTGGCCCTGCTTTCTTGGAAGATGAGAAAATGTTCAGCTCACCACCACCCCCAGCCTCCAGTGTCCCTCTCTGCATACTCTGCAGTCTCTCGTGGCCTTCAGTTCCAAGGTCTTAGTCCAATTTTATAATCTCTGAGTTCTGGTGTGAGCTCAGAGAGAAACTCAGTCCCTCCCCTGGATTCTACCAAAAATTCCCCTCTACCACAGAAGGAAGAGAACATATCCTGAAGGTCTGAGTTCATAGGTAGGGTCACCTGCCCCTCCCCTTTTTCTTCAGCACCCCACCATGTCCAGATCCTTTCACCCCACCACTACCACCAGCCCCATAGGCTCAGGCAGTTTTCTCCCTATCAGGTCAGAGCCAGTGCATAGTGTGACCAGGATTAACAAGGCATTCCCCACAACAATGCCAGATAAGGTTAGCTTCAACTACAGAGGAAGTGCTAGAAGAGAGGTTTATGTGGCCCTCAGGGAAAAGCATCATGGAATTGGGTAAGTAAGGGCTCCATGAGACATCAGGGACCCCAGCTCCTCCATGCTCAGTGTTCTTCCTTCCCTCATACACAGTTCCCCCTCATAGTCAGGATGACTGCTGGATTCTGGCTATCACATCCGTGTTCCAGGAAGCAGAATAGAGGATGTACCCTCTTTCCTGTTGAAGAGGCTTCTTGGAAATCCCACATGCCACTTTGATGTCTGTTTCATGGCCACAACTCAGTCACATGGCCATGCCTAGTGGCCAGGTTCTGCAACTGCAGGAGTAATAGGAAATAACAGCAGTATCAGAAATATCCAAAGCCTCCTGGGCTCAGAAGATGTCAGGTGCTAGCCGCTAAAGCGACGAAAGTTGTTCGACAAAATACTAGACGTCTTTGCAGTCAAGTTTCTCATGCACTGCCCAAATAGGACAGGTCGTCTGGGGTGGAGAGAGAACTTTTGCTCAAACTGGAAGCCAGCACATAAGCTCCGAAGGGCCAGGAAGGAACCTGTACAGACAGAAAGGAGACAAAAGGGAATTGCAGTTTGGAGGAATGGCCCAGCAAATGCAGAGGACTGCAGGCCAGCCTAGGCTGCTGGAGGAGAGGCTCCATTTCCTCCCGATCGGTCTGTGGTTCAGAGTGTCTCTGTGGGTTAAAACTCCCTGTGGATTTGTCTAGGAATCTAAGAATGGGGACAGAAATGAAGTTGAATTGCCACAGCAGAGTCAAGTCAGGTCAGCAAGGAGAGGGCAGCTCTGTCACCTCACTCTAGTTCGAGCTGTGTCAGGACAGGGCCCTGCAATGCCTGGTCTCTATGTTTTCTAAGGCAGCCATGCAGGGTTGTGTGGAATCTCTCAGTGTTATTGTACGCTAGTGTAATAAGCAAACACAGATGAGATATAAGCTAGCTAATGCCCTGTAGACCACCACCACCACTAGCTCAGGTTCTGAAATCTCATGAACCTGGTTATTAAAACTGAGAGCTAAAAGCAGAAAGTAGAGGAAGGGATTCATCCCAGGTCTCAAAGCCAAAGTGGGCAGATCTTGGACTCGAACCTGGGATTCTGATTCCATGCACAGTATTCCTTATGTCATTGGGCCTAAAATAGAAGGCTGACCTTTTGGTGGTAATTTTGTTCTTGATAAATGCTGGAGAGCTGTTCATTAGTTCACGTTCCCAGAATCTTGGCAGAATGGAGTGGAGGAAGACAGAAAGGCTACAGGCCCCATGCAGCTCAGGGATCCTGCAAAGCAAGGGGATGGCTTACTA